GATATTTGTAACATGCTCGCTATACGCCGAGTACTAATTGAAGGGTCGTCAAGTACTAAATCAATAACACGTTCTTCATTTTGTACATTCACATCATGGGGACGAACGGAATGTAGTGGAGCGGGGTTACCTGTTTCTCTCAGTCTGCGAAATGATGCACTAAACACTGTATGGGCAGGTTGATGTCTATTTGGAAACCTACGAAGGTATTCTGTTGCTGCTTGCCGAGCGTTTCCGTTACAAAGCCCGTATACAAAAATAATATCTGCATATTCTTCAGTCGTAAATACATGCATTTTCGTTTTCGATCAAAACTTTGACAATTATAAACTGTGAAACACACAGAATGGATTAAATTGAAATGTTTGACATAAAGAACTCAGTTTTGTTATCATAGCCAACTCTGTATTTGTGTTTCATAATTATTGTTGAGATTGTTGCAAATCTTTACTTCGTCGATGTGAGGCGGGCATTCAAGCTGAAGGCGGACATTTCGAACAATTTTTGTAATTTTTAAACTTATTTTTTATGTTACATTTTCATTTACCTATTAAACTGTGTAAAATTTTCAAAGGCTTGTAACTCTTTAACCAAAATGAATCGGACCCATATTCATATAACATTTTTTCCTTACAATCGCATCACCTTTCATCTGCCAAAGTTTGTCATAGAGCTAATGAATCACCTGTATATAAACTTGCGAGTTCAATTTTATCAAGTTTTTGTGATAAAGAAAATTTATGGCCATAATTAAAAATGGTATATTCGGTTTCAGAGAAAGTTATGTCTGAAAGTTGGGTGCAAAAGAGGTGTTATTTTGGTTATTTAGTGGTACATTAAAAGAGTGGAATTTGGTATACTCTGCTTAATTTTACTTTGCACTCAATTTTCTTCTTCTTGAGGTGTCTATCAAATTCTCTGGTATCTAAATGTTTTTGTTGACAGAATCTTGAAACAATTCTGCCAAGGTTTTTCCAAACCAAGTTTCAAGATTGTTTTTCTGTCGAGTTCACTTTTTGCTTTGACTTTCTCTTGCATTATGGATTCAGCGTTTGATGGTAAACATGATTTCCTATTTCTAATTTATTCGTTGTAGCACTTCCTTGTTCATGATATTTTGAGATATATACACCCACATCTCAAAGGTTTTCAGTTGTTTAGTTATGGCTTCTGTCGATGTCCAAGATTCGATGCCGTATAACACTGTGGAATAGATCATTAATGTTCTACCTGTGCTTCGAGGAATATGTTGCGAATTTGTTATTTATTTAATTTATTGTGTTTCATCATGGATCATTTAACAGATTTGTTAAATTCAGCTAGATCATTCCATATAAAACAATATTTGATGAAGAGATCATGTAATTCGAATTTCCATACAGCAAAAGTACCCGAAGCAATCCAAATCGAAAAAACGGCAGGGTCACCCACACAAAAATTCTCTTTTCCAAAGCTCGACGACGCCGCGAGCTTTGGATCAGGCGCATTGGGAGCTTCGCAGTGCTTTCCAAGCTCGGCGTCCTCAGTATCCGCGAACGCGCCGGGAATTTACCATCCGCCCTCGCTATTTTCACCAATACCTTCCAACGTAAACGCGATTACATCGCCACTGCAGTGTATGCTGCATTAATTTTACGGAAATTCGGAAAAGTCAGTTCAAAAAAAAAAATTTTAATAAAAAAAGTTGGATAACTAGAATAATTAGAATAATTAGAATAAAACGGATAATTAGATTAAAAGGAAAGTTTGTGAATTAAAAAGTTTTTTGTTCGTTTCTCTTTATTTGGATTTTCTGTAAGTGTGTAGTGTTGGATTAAAAGCTGTTTAATTCAGTGTTGGATTAAGGAAGATTAACGTTGAATATTAATTTAGGAGGTAATTTAAGAGAACGAGATGTGTTGTGGGGGGGATGTAAGTTTTATCGTTTAATACATAAGCGGTAAATATTGGTTAAAATAAATCAACTGTATTTAAAGGATTATTGACTTTATAAGCCCTGCTAATTAGCCAATATTTGCCGGATACGCGCACCATAAACTCCATATTTCCTCACTTCGGGGCGTACTTTGCTCTATATATACACAAACACTACACCGAATATGTTGTTTTATTTGTTTGTGCTAGGCAAACACGTGGACTTAAACAAAAGGTTAACAAGAGCACATATTCCAAACAAGAGCATTTATTCAACAAAATGAGACAATTTTTGTTCATTAACCAAATACTATAATAAAGTTAAGTTGCAACACGATAAATTAATTATGTAATATTAATCAAGTAATTTAGGCACACCTGTTTGACCCTTTATTGATAAATCAGATTGAATTAAAACAAGTTAGAAAAAGTTAAGGTTGTTAACTCCAAAAATATTTGCAAATTTTTCAATGGAACCCAACCCAATTTAATAAATTTAAAAAAAAAGCAGATCATAGGTGCAGCTTCGGCCCTAACAATGTATTTAAAGCATCTCTATTCCATACTCGGAATTATTCCCAGTGACTAAATCCGTTTATGATAAGCTGTTGTAAACCAAGGACTTCCCGCTATGAGATGTTCTATATTAAATTTCATCTTTGCTTTCTCCCTCTCTTTCTCATTCTCGTGTTGGCTGTATGCTTATGAAGCAAGAAATGGCCAATCTAAAGATTGAACCAAATTGTAACCTTTGATAGATCGACTTGGGATTTTGCCAAACAAATCCAAAAGCAAGATTTTATTTTTTTTTGCTGTTAACTTTACTTTACATTGTGAGTGCTAAAAAATGTTATTGCATATACGGAGTGTTTCTTTTAGCTGGAGATGGTCGATTATTTCGAAAACATACTTCATGGAAAGGTACTTAGTAGCATTTGTGGTTATAAAATTTGTAATTTTGGATAACCTAATCAGAATAAGCTTATTTAGGATTATACAGTCAATTTCACTTAAGATGCAATATACAAAATTATATTTCCATAGAAACTTACTTACTTTGTCCCACATAAACAAAGGAACATGTCAATATAATTTGACATTACAGTAAAACCTTTATATAACGGATCCATACGAGGAACGCAGTGTCTGTTATAGCCATAGATAAGGGATAGTAATATAGTTATATAGATTTGCCACTTAACGACATAAAACTGAACTGCCATCCCTCCGCTAAGGGAAACTTTTAGCGGGTATTTATTGTATTGTAAATATTTTTAAAATACCATTTTTTCAGAAAAGACATTGAATTACTAATAATAATATGTATTTCAATGTCTTTTGTGTGATACAACTAAAAATTTAACAGATTCTGAAAGAAATGTAGAGGAAGATGATGAAATAGACGTTGAAGATGAGGAATATAATACATATTTCCTTATCTTGTAAATGTTATAAATAAGTTTGGTGTATAATATGTATAATATTTGGTGGATAATCGACTCTGCATTCTTAAAGTACTTGCAAAACTGCCATCAACTCAATTTAAATCAAATTTTATAAATACTTTTAAATACCCATCTTGGGTAAGTACCCCCGGGTATATATCCAGACTATTTTCCCTTGAACATAAATACCCAGGTATTTAACAACACTGACTAAAATACATACACTTTAATGGCAAATGTAGAGTTGGTACACTGGCAGGTTTTAAGTATGCATTTGTTGCTCTATCACTGCTTTGGAAATGCCTATGACAAACACGGTCCGATCTATAAATTATATCCAGTGAAAGATCTGTAAGTTTTGAATTTCCACATTTTAAAATCCACTCCTGAGACAGATTCTCTTTCTTTTGTTGTGTCACAGGTTGTGTCCGTACATCCAAAAACGGCATAGGCGCGAGTCCTGTTAATACACCGATTCATTTTAAAAGTTAAATTAATTGCTAAGCTTGAAAGTTAGTTATGTTTATTATTTCTTATTGTTTGCAGTCAAATTCAAATGTCAAATATATACATATACGTGTATGTGTGCATGTTTTCTAAAGTCCCTAGATTTACAAAGTACCGCGGTTCATGACGCCTGTTTTCGAACCAAAATGGGTTCCTTTCGGGTTTTGCTGTGCGTCTTTTAATAAAAGGTTTGACGTTTCGGATGCCATATTGCAACCTTCTTCAGAAACTGGTTCGAAGTGACGAGATCAAAAATCGGTGACTGTATATAAGTCGGAAAAACTAATTAATAATCAGTTAACGCTAATTACAAGCTAATTAATAACTAATTGCGTCGCGTCCGGTGGGAGGGGGGAAGCGGTCTTCGTGTTCACCACCATCTTCCATGTTCTGCTAAGCTCCCAGCCATCCTCTCTGTTGACGTTATTTTTATGTCGGTGGATCTCTATGGCTTCTCTTGTCAGTCTTTGGTAGTATCTGTTGTCCCTAGCCAGCACCTTTGTTTGTTCGAAGTCTATTCGGTGACCCTCTGCATGGCAATGTTCCGCAACCGCCGACTGCTGGATCTTCTTCAGCCTTACATACCTCTCGTGCTCCTTGATGCGGCACTCGACGTTGCGTCCAGTTTGGCCAACATAAACCTTCCCAAAACTACACGATAGTCGATAGACTCCCGCTCCTTTTAATGGAGTTAGTTTGTCCTTGGCTATCGGGAGTGTGTTCCGAATTTTGCTGACCGTGCCGTACCGCACTACGATGTCGTTCTTATTGAGGTGCCTAGCAATTCGTTCTGTTACACCTGAAACATAGGGAAGACAGATAAATCCCAGTGGTTTTGTACTTACCGTGTCCTCTTTCTGCTTTCGCTGCTTGATGGCCTGGTTGATGTCCCTCGAAGTGTATCCATTCTTCTGCAGCACGCCTCGTAGAAAGTGTTACTCCTTCTTCAAGTTCTCTCCTTCACATAGTCTCGCTGCTCGTTGAAATAATGTACGGATCACGGACCTCTTCTGTTGGGGATGATGATGTGAACATGCCTGTAAATACCTGTTGGTATGGGTCTTCTTTCGGTATACACCAAGTTCCATATCTCTATTTGTCGTCCTGGTGACCAACACATATAGGAAAGGTAGTTTTTTGGCAGTTTCTATTTCCATGGTGAACTTAATCATAGGATGTTGAGAGTTCAAGTCCCACTAACGAAAGACGAAATCTCTGTGCTCGCCAAAGGATTGAACTACGCAATCGCCCCGAAGAAGTTCCCAAAGGAGGAAATCATCTGCGAAGTGGAAGCGGCTGTTCGAGGGATGCCTGCACTGAAAGCCGAAGAGATCCGACAAGAAGTTGCGAGAGTATTGAAGTCAGCAAAACCACCAAAATCCAACTTGACGGTTGGTGAAAAGAAGGCACTCCGATCTATAAAAGAATATAGTATAATATAGTAGTAATATAGTCACCGATTTTTGATCTCGTCACTTCGAACCAGTTTCTGAAGAAGGTTGCAACATGGCATCCGAAACGTCAAACCTTTTATTAAAAGACGCACGGCAAAACCCGAAAGTTTCTAGTGTTAGTTCTAGTTTTGGTTCTAATTTTAGTTTAATTCACACCGGCCGTGAAAGCCTTCGTACTTATATCTCAACACTTATTTACAAAAATATTGCCGTCTTGTTGCCTTTGGAGTTGCAAAAATAGCAGTAAGAAGGGCTTTCGAGTACCACAAGAAAAAAGAATGGAGTTTTGGCGTAATGTTATCAATAGAACGACATAGTTTTAAATTTCCCGCTTGACTTTCGAGCCAAAATGGCGGCAAACCGCGGTACGTTGTAAATCTAGGGACTTTAGTGTTTTCAAGACTTCAGCGACATCTAGCGAATTGTTCTCTTTAAAAATACGACGGTGTTATTTTGCCTATATTGGTGCCCACACCATGGTTATAGATCAATAATAATATACAACAATCTAGCGCTGAATAATAAATAATACTAAACTTACACTAACACTAGGACTAAGATTAGACTTACAACTAGAAACATTTCGTTTAGAAGTACCTCTCTTAAGACGGCTGGGTAGAACTAGTTAGCATAGAATATTTATGTTGCATATTTTTATTGAACTAAAACTAGAACTAACACTAGATCTACAACTAGAAACATTCATTTTAGCCCAAAGACGCACGGCAGATATTTTCTAGTTATAGGTCTATATAGTGTTAGTTCTAGTTTTGCACTATCACTAGAACTAACACAAGACCTATAACTAGAATCATTCGGATTTGGCCGTCTTAAAAGACGTGCGGCTAAACCCAAATGATTCTAGTTCTAGATATAGTGTTAGTTCTAGTTATGCACTGTCACTAGAACTAACACAAGACCTAGAAGTAGAATCATTCGGGATTAGTCGTCTTAAAAGACGTGCGGCTAAACCCGAAACTTTCTAGTTCTAGGTCTAGTGTTAGTTCTAGTTTTAATTGTTATGCAGCGTTAAACAGGAACTGGAATCATTTGGGTTTAGCCGTCTTAAGAGACGTGCGGCTAAACCCAAATGATTCTAGTTCTAGATATAGTGTTAGTTCTAGTTTTGCACCATCACTAAAACAACAAGACCTAGTTCTAGGTCTAGTGTTAGTTCTCGTTTTAATTGTTATGCAGCGCTAAACTAGGAACTGGAATCATTTGGGTTTAGCCGCACGTCTCTAAAGACGGCTAAACCCATATGATTCTAGTTCTAGGTATAGAGTTAATTCTAGTTTTAATTGTTATTCAGCGCTAGATTATTGTATATTTTTATGGAAGTAGTTGAAAAGTTAAATACACATATTCAAAAAGTACGTATATTAGATTATATAATAGAACTAGAATCATTTGAGTTTAGCCGTCTTAAGAGACATGTGACGAAACCCGAATCTTTCTAGTTCTATACCTAGTTTTAATTATTATTCAGCATTAGATTGGTATATTTTCATTAAACGAAAAGTAGAACTAACACTAGACCTAGAACCAGAAACAT